TAATTGCAGTGCCCTAAGAAAGGAGCTGGGAAAGCTTGTGAGAGCCTGTTAATCCCATATGTTGCAGCTGGGTGCGCAGTTGTTGTGGCTTAAAATTTAGAGTGCAATTTTGCGCCCAGATCACAAACGATTTTTTGGCGTGATTCCGTTCGCTCCCCACAGATGACAATAATGTCTGTCTAATTTTATTTTTATGAACTGCCGGAGTCATGTACGCACCAGTATAAATGCAACATGTACTATATATATAACATAATTTTCAAAAGTGAGTTCAACAGTTTTTAGAGTTTTGGAAAGTGTCTGTTTTCCAGAATTTATCAACAAATCGGTCCAAATACGTCATAGTTGATGACAATGATCTGTCTCCCGTGAATGTCTGTCAGTCTCAAGTGTGCACTTGTACTGTCTGATGGTTAAAGAATTTTTCTTAATTCCACGCCAAAACAAACATTGGGACTTAGAAATTCTCCCTTCAGGGTTATTTTTTTCTACGTATGCGGTAAAAAATAGCCAACATTTTTAGGGTGCAGATGACTGGAATTGAAACGTCATTAAAATGGACGACTGGAAATCGGCTGAAATCAGCTCTGCCACGTGCCCCGTGATCCGTGCTAATACAGTCTATGTCACGTATGCTGCCCCGTCACTGTATGTTATATTTCATGAAAATCTGGAAGACTGGCCCTTGGACTGTACTGCGTGATCAAGTAAAATTCGTCTTATTGGGTCAGTCCTTGCTGGTCCAAACAGCGGACAGCTCACACATGCTGTTCACTTATCGTTTTCTCTGATTCATCGTAGTTGTGATGCAGTATCAATATGGAGATATTGTCCGACTGTTTAAACTGCCATCAATGTATAAGGTTTTTTTTCGCAGTAGTGGAAATTAACCCTCTTGTATACTCCAGGGTTATTCTGCTGGCTAGTGGTCGCTTAATGTGCCATGACCCATACTCAAGCTTTGCTGCTGCAAGTTCGCTTCGTTAGGACCGTGTGCGTTTCATTCCTTTTTTATGGAGTATGATGTGAAAAATCTCAGGATGCACGTCCTTTGACAGAAAAGTCCGCTTGCAACAAAATATGTTCTGTTGTTCGCCGCGGACAGTTCTGTTGTAAGAATAATAGTGTTTACTTTCGAAGCTCACCCGAAGTCATGAGTTTTTTGGCCTCGAGCTTTCATTTCATTTCTGAAATCGAGCCAGGTTCAAACTGACATTGACGCTTTGCACAAAGCCAAATTCTGGCAATACAGTCCTCTTTTAAGGGCAACTGTCTTGCTTGTTTGTGTCCTACCAATTTGCCAGTTCATACTAATCCTTTAGAGGACAGATGCTTCTTATTCGGAAGAATGTGCTGCCGAACGAACAGTGAGACCCCCCAACTACTGTGAATGCCGGCTCGCTAAAGGCATGAACAACAACGTTTTTATCCTTCAGATCATATCACTTTATCAAATCAAATTTGAATCGTACAAGAACAGCAATTTTGTCGCCGTGGTGCGCTCGTTGCATGCTGGGAATTATTATATGCTTACATGGATTGATGAACTTTCTCAACTCTGTGTGTTTTTGCCTCAAGTAACGATAGGGGAAATTCCACTCCACCGTCGGCAAAGCAAAAACAAGTGGTCAAGATTCTTTCAAATGGAGTCAAAAATATCCCATTCAAGAGGCAGGACATTGACAACCGTTAGTCGCCCTTCACGAAATCAGACTTCTTCAGGCTTGTCACAACTGACACAATACACTTAAGGAAGTAAACTGATGATGAAGAAGCAAACACCATTTTTTAACATGTAGCGTGAGCGCGTATCTTTAGCGTTCTACAACTCCGAAATAGATCGCCTATAATGATAGTTGCCATGCCAACAACTTTTATCATTCGTGTTGCATTGCCTCAGTTTTTTCTGTAAGATGGACGCGACAGGAAGGACTTTGTCATGATGAACTATAAGGGACAACTGTTTCTCTATAATGTCACCCACCGCGTTTTCCGGAAATGTAAGTGGTAAAAATGAACCTTATCTGAAATATTATTTGGCCATATTTCATTGACTTCTCCGCTCCTCTGCTGAAACAAAAGCAGATTTATTTGGCGAAATACAGAAAGAACCAAATAGTCCATTACGCACATTAGCGATTTCCGCTTTATCTGTCCAAAATACATCTGACTAATCCGGAAATATATGGAAAAATGTTCACCCTGTCGCTCTCATCTGCGCAGTTTGACTGGAGCGCATTGCATTCTTGGTATTCAACACATCCGAGATCTCTCGACTGTGTGACACCACTCACACAGCAGTTTACTAGCAAAATATTCTATGTTCCTGTGGACAAATCGTACGTCATATGACCCACTGGTGAAAGGATTAGTCTCATTCGATCGCTGCCATGTCAAAGTTTTTAAAAATGTATTGTTTTCAATGTGATTATGCAGGATTTGAATAAAAGATGCATCGAAAACCATTGTTCAACCGTGACATCGTCAAGTAGCTTGATAATACCTCACGCGTTGGTTAGTTATTTCAAAGGGTACTGATACAAACATGCAACATTTATGAGCCACTATATTATCCTTGACACTAGTACAAATAACTGCTAGGAATATCTTGATGAACCAGAGGCAGATCGTGCATAAGAAAGTGGAAAAACCAGTGCATCTGTAGGGGTCCGGCGTGAGAGAAAGTAGAGCCGGAAAACTTGGGACTTGATTTCACTGGATTAGTTTTGCTATGCAGATCACAATCATAGTTACAGTGGGTTTTGGCGTGATATAAGCGACTTCCATGAACGCATTACCAACTACGCAGGATGATAACATTATAATTGCATTTTGGTTGACAAAATATGCTTACCTTCTAACGCTTACAGCTGTCAGCGACGCTTCTGGTTGGACATTTTTGAGAAGCAAATGGACGAAAATAAGTGGTAAAAACTTTACATGTAATCCGACAAAGTTTTCATAAAAAAACACGTGGTGTGGTGAAGTTTCATTTGGCTGTGTTTCCATGCACTCGATGTATAATGCATTACCTCCGCAAAGCATTCTCTGTTTCACCCCATTTCATTTCGTGTGCGGAAAACAAGTTGATACCAATGAGTTATCTGCAAGTTACTTTAAATTTTGAATCTATAAGTAATTCAATCTTCCCTTGGGTTTTCAGGGAGATACATAATAAGAACAAGTTATCTTACTGAAGAATCCTAATTTCGAGGCCAATCTACATTTAGATGCCCTTACCTCCAAAACGTAAAAGGTGTAGGCCGAACGATTTCAAATTCATTACCAAGTGTCTTCGCACCGAGCTCAGATTCAAAATTTAGTGACTGATTTGATATTAAGACCATTATAGAAAGTTTTGTTCCAGTTCAGTAAAATGTTCTACTGCTATATAACTGGTCGTTAGGTAACTTTGATTGGATGTGATTATTGTATTGTTTTTGCTACTAAAGACTTCATTAATTGCCTTGCTCTGAGCGCTTCTTTGCTTTCTCTGAAAAACAATCCTGCTCACGTTGAATGTGGCGCATTGTTTCTGCGTCCGTAATGAGGTACACAATCATACCTCCCATGCAAGCAAGCATCCGTGGAACAGAATCAAGGCTTTGTCGAGTGCACTGCATTCTCTTGCAACATCCACGTGAAAAGGACCGGTGCTTATCAATTGTGAAGTTGTCTAGCAGGTGCTCGTTAGCCCACGCGCGGTAAAGATCATTAGTGCATCATAAATTTAAGAATTAGGCATCGTTTGTTACGCTGTCTTATGTTCAGCCGTTGATACCATAGAACGAGATGTCCCACCGATCGTTAAGAGTGAGAGGAAGAGCGCAGAACCGGACGTTTATCTGTAACAGCAGAGTGATGTACCTTGAAGACGGGCACTTTAATATGCCCCTTTCAAGTTACATCATAAAAACTGGGAAGCTAATATTCCCTACGGTAAGGAAAAATCTCCCGTAGGAAAAGGTGTTTTGTGTTTACAAGCTAGCTTTATCCTTGGTGAACAACTTCAATTCAAACGTGGCAGCGGCATGCGGCTTCATTTTTTTCACCCGCCAAATAAAACAACCTCCCCGAGTTTCTCTATTATTAAAATCCATTTTCGCGGAAACAAAGTGCAAAACAACATGATATGCAAGCCTTTCTCAAACCCACATTTAACTGTCTAGCCAGAAGAATGACTTATGAGCTAAGTTGATGCGCACCTTTTCCATGGTTGTTATATGGAAGACAAATCTGCGGCCTCGCTATTCTAACGTCTAGATGAACAACCAACACCTTAGCGAACAGGGTGCTGCGCGAATTTCCGTCAAAATCGGTCCACTTGCCTGTCTGCCGGGGGAATCACATTATATGACTTTTGCGTATTATGGGCAGTGCACTAAATAGGAATGACGTCATTGTGCTAAAATATCTCTAATCGTTGCTCGCAGGCAGTCGTTTTTTGCATGTCTATTTGTATCCACAGTTCAGCTGTCTGGTACATCAAACAAGCTTGTAATTCAAACTGTCAGACGAAGTGGCAGATATGTTGCCTACTGGGTAGTGTACGGGTAGTTCATATGTGGAAAATAATGTGCATGCATTTCCGACAGAACAACTTTGTCGTGCTAACGTTGTCTTAAATTCGATTTTCGCTGTGTAAAGAGCCGTTCAGCGAAACAACTGACGCCTCCCTGTCTTTTGTCTGAAAAATTCACGGCGCTAAGATTTGACAGCTAAAATGGTGATTTGTGGTTTCATGAATGACAGATATTGGTTGAAAATTTTGGTGAAAATCTGATCAAAGCTAGTGTAATCCAGTTTGTAGTTTCCTCGCTAAATCCTCTTAGGTTAAACCTCTTTCCAAAGGTACTCAATGATGTTGGCCTGGGTTGACCTTCTACAACAACCATTGGCAAGCTGTCATCACGTTGATTTTGAGGATGAACTCTCCTGTTCTTGTCCATAGGTCGGTGTTTGAGTGACCTATGTACTTGATCTTTCTGACCTCCACTTACTGCCCTTGGTTGATGTGACTCCAAGGCGCGTCGTGTTTGTTCGACTTTTCTAGTCCGGTTGAGGTATTGCATGAGGTGGTGAATATGCTGAATCCGATACAATGTGTCGTTTGATCCAATATGCCGCATAAAACCGTCTATACGAATATTTTCTTCCACGTCTTCATTCGTCAACATTTTTCGTCTCCCAGATTAAAGCTGTGCACTTAATTTTCCCCGTATATGTAGATTAAGGATAGGAGGTAACGTTAGCTGATGGCCGAATTTTGTACTCTTGCTGGTGTACATATCTTCCTCCCAGAACCTTTTCCAGTTGGTGTACTTGATTGGAAATCATGCCGTTCCTCTTATTTTCCTCTGCACTGTCCTTTAGTCCGGATACCCGTTCTCATAAAGATGCGAATTTCTCCTGGCCTACGAGGATACACTTCTAACCTGCTTCTGTGACTGTGCTTTCCTAGCCTTAAAGTCTTGAAATGTCAGTAGGTCATATGCATTCATCAGTATCTGATCAGAATGTCTTATTTTCTTCCCTCTTCCTTAAATCGATGGTGCTACAAATTGGCTGGGCTCTACTAAGGAACGTTGTGATTCAGAGATCAGCACGCATTTTTATTGCATGCACATGTCTTATGAATTCCAAGCGACTTTTGATTCGTTAAAGCATCCACGAAACTTAGTCGGTCGTTCCTATTTCCGATCGTATGTTTGAAATCCTGAGGCATTGTTGAAGTGTTCACACGCATGTCTTGCCTAGTTTAGTTTGAAGACAACAAAAATTGTCATTCTTGCAATGGATATGTAGTTTTTACCGATGTGTTTTCTCGAATGGTTACGATAAGTCTGCAGGGAACTTGCTACATTTGTCCAAGAAATCAGCAGCGACCTGATCAACCAAAAGGGCTGTTCTTGATGTAAGGTTAAAATATTCGTTCGTTGATGGATTTCAGCTGCTGAAATATCCTGCTCAGCTACTGCCGCCAAAGTTCTTTGGATATCAGGCATTCAGCACTATTTATTTACAAAAAGTGGACATCCATCTTTTTCTGAACGCGTCTTCTTGAACTTTCCTGGATGTTCATCGACTCCAATCTTTTATCGCTCAAATAAAACAAATGTTACAAAGCGACTCCACAAATTCAGCAACAGATATTTCCTTTTCAAGAGACTCAAAGCGGAATTCCACGAACAACACGTACTACTCGCGGGCCTCCCCATCAGTAGTAACACCGTTACACCGGCATCCCCCTAGTAGTAAAACAAAGTACAAACTGCTGCGGGAACGCTAGTATCAGCAGCGTACAGCAGTATGACCATGAGTGATAAAATGCACTGGGTTCGCAATATACCTTACAGGTAGTGTAGTTGTTACTAACACAAACATTGTTGAAAATTCGACTAAGCGAATTTAAAACTACCTTTCGAACAACCCAAAATGACATTTCTGATGACCGGAGCTACCAACAGAAGTAATCAAATAAAAATTTCGAACTTACCACACATCAGACCCATATTCGAGGTTGGAGTACTGATGATCTAATGAGGTGCGGTCCATTTAGATTTTCACACATAAAAGCACGTTGAAATCACCGTTTTTTATTCAACACATCCACAATGAAGTGCATTCTCTCTTATGTTGCGCATACAGTCTTCTGCGAAAATCACAAATTTATTTCACATTTAAACACTAATTGGTTTTATCTGCTGACTGGTAGCTTTGATAGCCCACCTCTCCATCCTATCGACAACTAAAGATATCGAAAGAATATTTTATCAACGAATGAAGGCCGGTCTAACGATTGATGGTAGTACAAACATTACGGTGAAAAAAGTCTACAGAAAACAAATGAAAGCCGATGTAACTAAACTACTACAAGAGATGTCATGGGCGGTGCATGAACCGCACCCTTAAGAGATTACCAATTACAAATTCCCGATGAATGCCTCACTCTTGTTCTTCGTGATGTTTTGGAAAACATTCTCCATACACTGATGAATAGATTGGTTTTGGGCTAACTTGTGAGTGTAGCATTCAGTATCAAGTAACTCTTCAATTCCTTTTGTGGTTACGTGACTATGCACGCTAAATGGATATTTCCTCGTAGAATTCCGGAATCCAGGTGGCTAGTACAACCACATTTCCTCATTTTGTTACCAAGTGAGCACGGTTATCATACGCCACCACAATTATCCACAAAATAGCTATGGTGAGAGATTTCAAAATCGGGAGACGAACCAACAGCCCTCGATTTATATAGCCTGAAAATAAAAATTATTTCTGGTTACTACTGTTTGTTCCCGCCGGTGGATAGTAGTGGCCTCCCGAGTTCAGAAACCAATGGAATCTAGGATTTCCCTCATTCTTGTTTGGAACCGTTTTAAACGGACGATTCCCACTGCTATATCTGCTGATTCTCCGACCTGTGGTACCTGCTGCAGACCCGCTCCAGTGCCTAGTGCCGGAGAAAAAAGACTCACAGAAGGGAACACAACAGCTATATTCCGGACAGGCGAGTAAGTGCGGGAGAGTGTAAAAGTGACAACGGCCCCAAGCTATTTAAAGGGGACTTTCTGACATTGATCTAGGCTGTCTGATAGGCGTTAGAAACACCCATCAACATTAATCGTGCCTTTATGAAATGCCTGAACACTGATCACATTCGGTTGGGCTTCTCTGGCGTGCAAGAACACGTAGTAAGTCTGCAAATTAACATAAATATAAAGAAAGCATTGTCTATGCGAACAATCCGCTAGCACACCCACACCAACTCAACATGAGCAACATGCCCAACAAATAACTTGTCATCCAGTAGCCCCTACTGCATTGCAGACAGGGTCCGATTAGATGATGTTATGCTTCTCTTTTGCCCTGCTAACTGTTTACTTGACGCCTTCAGTATTCACAACGCTCGCCATAACAATCACTCTCTAATTTTGTGCCTAATGCGCACACGATATAGGGCAAACACCAGTTGTGTTTTGAGAGTCTTGGCATGTCCAAGACTTGAAAATTTATGTGAACTGTAAATGTGCTCTTACTTCATAAACTGCATCATGCATAGGCCGTAGACGAGTACAGCTCAAACACGGATGGAGCCTAATTGACTAGTTTTGCTACGTGTTTTCACTTTTGTATTAAATATAGAAACCGTCCGACGCAAAGTAAAATAAATGCATGCTGAAGTACCAGGAGAAACATTTCATTCACAAGGATCATGCGCATCTAGGTAGTTAGTAAGCAAAAAGTCGTCACATCTGTAAGGGCATTTTTATTTTATTTCGGATTACTATGTGATCTGGAATGACAATCGATAGCCGTGTGGCTCAAAAAAGGAAGCAAAAATTTGGGACCACTGATTACAACCCTTGCGAAACACAAGTGGCGTAACTTCAGGATCGCAGTTTCAACGTAAACGTGCGTGGCGTGAAAGGGAAGCGGTCAAACAGATTAGGGAGGAATAAATCTGCAGACGAACGACGGCAATCCTTTGGTAGTTTTCTAGGGAAAAGTAAGATGAAATCAAGTAATCATAATAACATTTGCCTACCCTCCACATGAAAGTGCAGTGTGATCGCACTGCATGCCAACGTCAGAGTACTTTTTGGCCGGAAATTTGTTTTTAAGTGCTACTCACACTAAGTAATTGCATGGTGCTGTTATTGGTTGCAAGCTATTAACATAGATACAAACCTCCGGTAAGTAATTTAGCCCCTCATAAAAACTTGCGGGATGCATTCTTTGTGTAAGCAAACCCCAAGTGGTTCTGTACAATTTACTACCACAGTGTAAGAATGGGAGCATTGGTGGACAAAAGGAAAGCAAATGACCTCAAATGTAGGTCACGTCGGAGGGGGTATATCAAAAGTAGCGAATACAATCAAAACACATTGCTCCAGGTTTACACAAACAGTGTCAAACTTAAGCCAAAAATGTACTTTTTCCCACAGGTTGAGATTCCATCAAGACTTAAACATTGCCGATTATTGAAATGTAGATAAAATCTCTTGATCACTGACGAAACACCTTCGTATATATTACACTCTGGTGCATGCGTGCCCAAAAAACGGAGTCAGCAGTTTCACAGGCATTAACTGAGTAGGTTGTGGAAACTTTTATACGATTACTATTTATTTGCATTCCAACTTTACTATTCATAGCAGCAGTTACGAATGAACAACTTATAAGGCTTGTTATATCGAGGAAGTACCTGCTAAAAGGACCGTATGAAGCTACCAGCACGGTCACAAAAAAGAAGCTGTACATTATGCTTGAAATCAACCGTATCCACTGGGGTGGACTACGGTATGATTTTGAAAAGGGGAATCCCCATGGTAAATTTCATTGTGTCCGTTACCCATTATAGTTACCATCCAAACCTAACCGTTTCATTTCATCTCTTCAGCTTCATGTGCTATGAGCTTAACTCTAGAAATATCAAGCGTCTTCAAAAGGTTCGGATCATTTTTGTGTATCCCAAGATTCTACATGTCATTCAGTTACCAATGCGACTTGAAACGTTCCAAAAGGTATAAACTTCTCGTGCAATAAACGCATTGTTCATCATATTGGAAATATTCGTCTACAGAGAAAAACAACCCGCTGGATATTTTTAATGTTGTCATTTAGTGACAACATCCAAATATCATGCATATGCCTGACACAACTAGTGACGCTTTATTTCCCCATCACTGTTGACATTAGTTTTTATACACAAGGAGTTATCGCTAAATATGAAGTTGATGTTTCTGGCATTTTGAATCAGTTGGAGAGAAAGACAAGTCAATCTTGGACACTGCGAACTGGACATCCGTGTTGTTCACATTCTACCGTACGTTAACCGTGGTTTGAATAAGAACGTCAAGTCGATTCATTTGACTGGCGGATAAACCACGTGCGATCGATGAACACCGGTTAACTAGTTACATTCCAAGTTCACTTACAATAGAGTGCAGCTGGTGACCACGAATGAGGATGCACTTTCACCGAGTCCGAATCAGTCCTGTTCAATTTTCACAGTGAATATGGATCATTTTATGTCAGTTGAAAGGTTCGCTCTGCTGTCTTTGTGGCGAATTTCCAAACCGGTGCTTCTCATTAGACATCAAGTGGGGAACAAAACAAAACACGATACGTACAACCGAGTTTGGATAAATATTTATAACACAATGTCACGACC